ATAATTGCACATCTTCTGAAAGATTAACTAATTGATATGAACTATTATCAGGAGGGAGTACTATGTCTCTAGGTCGCATTGCTTTCCAAATCTGATAATCAGAAGTGACTTTGTCGATGAGAGGCCTTAACCTCATTCTTTGTGTTTTTTTTCATGCTTGGATCAACTGCCCCGAGGTTCTTGATGGATTCGATTCCCCATAAATGAATTCTACTTGGACCAGGCCATGAGTAGTATGAACAAATTGTTTTGCACCAAATTGCCTAAGTACCATCAATGGAGCGTAACTTACAACGCCTCATAGCCCTAATAACGGAATCCATGGCTCATTTCCTCCACGATACAACAAGGGCACACGAGGCATCCAAGGAGTCATCCATTCGATTTCATCCCCAGTAAGTTTTCGTAAGAAAATGACCCATTCTTTCTTAATCTTTAATGTCGGCCATTGGCTTTTACAAAACTCTTCAAGTGGTGCCTTATTTCGAAGATATGATTTCGAAAATGCACTCTTCTCACATTTAAAATGACTTCTGACCCATACGTATAATAGAGATGCACATCCTATGAATCATCTTTTTCATTTCGTCGATAGAAATTCAATGACCTGATGGTTTTGACTAGGACTGCTGGAGCGAGATTAATTGCTTGGGTTTTAATTTGCTCAAAAAAGTCTACCACAGTTATCTCAATGTAACCCAAAGTCTTCAGAAAGATTACCATGCCATACAATGCTAGAGCAAACACATCCATAACTTGATCATTATCCAAATGCTCCTGAATGAAGTTTCGAATAAAGTCCCAACGAATGTCAAGATGTTCACCTTTAGACTTCGCAAAAGAATCAATGGTTTCTACTTTAACCCCCATAAGTTTGGCTAACTTTTTACGATAACCTGATTTTGGCTTTCGGGTTAATACTTTATCTGGACATTATAGTTCTATCCCGAGCAAAATCGAATACTTCTCGATAGTTGGCACCAAATCTTCTTGATTAAAAGTGAAACATCTATAGGATGGATCCCAAAACTGTATAGCTACTTTGACCAACTGTTCATTGATGACTACTGAAATGAGGGATGCAATCTGCCCATATTTTTTACAAAAACTTTTTTTTTTCTTCACTTAACTGACCCCAGACAGCAGCTAACTCTTTTAAATCATTCTGTGTGAGATCTAAATGCACTTTCTCAAGTAATTCAGACACATAACCGATAGGCAAACAATCTCGTTCTTTTGTTGACTTCTTTCGACCAAACATGTACTTCATTATACAACTCAATGGCACACTGACTGAGGATGAGCAAATCTGTAGTTCTATGGGATCCATGAAAACTTTTTGAGAGAAATATGTCCTAAAGCAAATATCTCGATGCAAAACTGTATGATATGATTAATGCAAAAAAGAAAATGAAACAAAATTGAGTTAGTGTGGTTCGAAAAAACATTTTTTATTTTTTAGTGTTTTGAGATTTTTTTTGTTTTGTTTTGTATTATACTATACACAACTTTTATTCTTAGGTATTTTACTACAAGATGATGGACAAGGCTCTTCATAAGGCTGATTTTTATGCTTATTATATGCTGGGTTTGGATTGACAGGGTCTAAAGGTTCTCAAATTGTTCTTCACTATCGTCTATGTTGGACTAATAAGGCACCCCGATCCTCACCCATTACAGGCTATGAACGAAAAGGGTTCAATTCGAGTGAAAGTATTTCGCTTGTCATTGCGGAGGTTATCACCTTACGAGAGCATAGGTACTTTACTTCTTCCTATAAAAGATGAAGTCCGGGTATAAAGCTCATGTATGAGATGCATCGTGCCATTGTGCGCAAATATATCCTAATTTATTGAGAGCAATATATACAAAAAAATAAAACATAAGAGGCATAGTAAAAGAAATATGTGTGAATTTTTTTTGCTTTTTATTTTTGATTTATTTTTTTGTTTTTTTTTTTACTAAAATTGAAAAATAAAAATTTAAGAAATTGATTAAGACTGTTTTAAATCAAAATTTAAGGATAACAAGTAGTTAATTTTGGCCTGACTCTCGAAAACAAAAGGCGTCCCCAGTGGAGTCGCCAAGCTGTTGTAACGATTTTGTGTCCGCCCGACGAATTTGAAAATAAAATAAAAAATAACGGAGTTGCCACCAATCTTTTTTGGCTAGGTGCGATTGGACACCTATTAAAACATATCTTTTTAATTAATTAAAATTTATTAAAAAGATAATTTTAGGGTCTGCGCAGCTGTCTGGGTTCGAGAGTCGGTTACGTGTGAGAAAGGATTAGCACTCTCACAGTGCCCGTTAAAAAATGGTACCAATTAACAACGTATTATCCTTTGATTTTGATAAAAATAGTCCAATTTTCAGTATTCGAAAAATAATTTTCTTGATTTTTTTATTTATTAAAAAATTTATTCTCGAGAAAAATAAATTAAAACCTTTTTATTGAAATAATTCTTAAAATGTTCCAGTACGTTGGTAACATTAAAAGAACTATTTCTCACCTAGAGATTTCTTAAAGCATATCTACTCGGAATACTTTTAGAATCTCATCTTTGGAGGCTCGAATTTATTTTTCGTAAGAAAATGTCATGTTAAAAAAAATATTCTCGAGAAAAATAAATTAAAACCTTTTTATTGAAATAATTTTTAAAATGTTCCAGTACGTTGGTAACATTAAAAGAATTTTTTCTCACCTAAAGATTTCTTAAAGCATCTCTACTCGGAATACTTTTAGAATCTCATTTTTGGAGGTCTAAATTTACTTTTCATAAGAAATCATGTCATGCATGCCATGCAAAATATTTTCATGTTTATGCACACATTTTATTCTCATTCAAAAATTTTATTAATTTTTTAATTTTTAATTTAATTAAAATTTTGAAGAAAAAGTAATTTAATTATGCTGAAGATTTTTTATAAATATTTCAATACGCTGGTAATATTTTACAAAAAATCTTCTCACCTAGAGATTTCTTAAAGCATCTCTACTCAGAATACTTTTAGAATCCCATCATTGGATTAAATTTCTTTTCTTCATATTTTTATTACTTATTTTTAATTTATTAATCAATTTTTATTTATTATTAAAAAATTTTTTTACTATATTGAAAATTTTTATATAAATACTCCAATACGCTGGTAGTATTTTAAAAAAATCTTTTCACCTAGAGATTTCGTAGGCATCACTACTCGGAATACCTTTGAATCTCATCGTCGGATAAAAATTTCTTTTTGTTTCATTTTTTATTACTTTAATATTATTATTAAATTTATTTTTATATTATTGTTTTTAAAGTTTATTAACATAATTACGTAAAAAAATTTAATCATAATTTTATCATTTAATCTAACAAATATAAATATTTTTACATAAATATTAATAAAATAATAAAAAAAAAGTTTTTTTACCCGAATCGAATCGGTCAACAGTTCGGTCAATGCACGGTTCGGTCGGGCGGTTCGGCTCGATCTGGGCGGTTTAGTACCGGTTCGTTTTGGTCTAGGCAGTTTGGTTTCGGTCCAGTCAGACCGATCAAAGGCTTATGAAGAAAGTGGGTCGCGGGTTGTTGCGCGGACCCTGGGTCGGGTCGCGGGTTGATGCGCGGATCCTCCTTGGCTAAAAACGACGTCGTTTTGGGTATTTCCCTAAACGACGTCGTTTTGAGTTTTTGCTTTACTATATATAGCTGAAGATTTTTTTTTTGGTTCATTTGGCTTCTGTTTCAGAAAAAAAAAGGAGAGAGGGAGAGAGAGAGCTGGAGGAGAGGTCCGCCGGCCAGTCGTCGGACCACCGCACCGGTCGCCGTCTGGCTCGCCTCCGACAGTTGTTGCCGGTGGTTTTCGGTTACCGAAAAAGGTGAAAATACTTCTAAAAATTCTTTTTGACTCGATCTTTTCAGATTCGGTATCTTTTTTACTTGAAACAGCCCCGATCGACGTAGATCGGGGCTCAAAGTTTCGGTCTCCTTTCTCTCTTTTTTTTTTTGGTGGATAGAATTGACTGATCTTTTTTTTTTTTTGTAGGTGGCTTTTCTGGCGCTGGTTCCCCTGCTTGGGGACTGTGATTTTGCCTTTTTTTGTGTTTTTGCATAATTTTTTCGACAGAATCTGCCTTTTTTTTTTTTTTTTCCATTTTTGCTTATGTTCCTTCTTTGGTCTAGGTTTGCAAGCTCTATTTATAGAGCTTGTTGGGATTCAAATCTTAAATTTTTTGGGATTCGAATCTCATTTTTCGACTGAAAAAATCATACCTACCGTCCGTGATTGGTGGCGTGTAGGTCGTTGGCAGCTATCGGTAGTGCTTTTGACTTTAGGGATTGTGCATTTAATGCACTAGATTTGAACCAGATAAGGATGAAGAAAAAAAAAAAAAGAAAAAGCAAACGTAGAAATGGAAAGAAAGGAAAGATAAGAAAAAAATTTTTAAATAATAATAATAATAATAATAATAATAATTAAAATTAAAAAAATGGTGTTTACAATATTCAAATAGTCCACCCATTTTTTTGATTACCTTTATCCAATTGTATCCATTGGTTATGTTAGGGATGTGGGTAAATTAAGGACACCAAAGCAAGGGACATAATAAGAACAGCAAAAATGATGTGTCAATGAAAACAACTTTCATTCCTGTTTTCCGTTTTGTCCATTAGACAGAAAAAAGTCCCCAGCCCTTGACCTTATGCTGAGAGGACCACAAAAAAACCAAACTCCTAAAAACCCAATTGTGTTATCGGCTCTATCATCCCAGGCTGGTCATGGAACAACCCAATGTGTAGACAGAATGGCCTGAAAAGGAGATTTTGTGGTCTGATGCTATAAGCTCTTTCTCCAATGGAAAATAATCAAAGATTGTCAATGTGGGTGGGGGTGATTGCTCTCTTTTAACTTACCTATGCTTCAGAACATACTTATATGATGTGCATCAAAAGCTGAGCTTGGAAATCTCTCTCTCTCTCTCTCTCTCTAGAAGACAGGATGTAATATTTTTAGAGGAGAAAAGCTGTGTATTATCTCGGTAGCATAAAATCATGTCAAAATGGTTTGTTTGCATGTTAATCCCTAACCATTTGGCATATTTTATGATCCATTTCTTATCGTAGTTGGAGAAATTAAAATGGTACTTTTACTACATTAATATACTTACATACCTATAAATGAAACCCAATACATAGAAGAATTAGAACCTTGCTGACCCAACCTGTCCCCTTCTGGGCTTTTTCTTTAGCATTGTAATTGTAAGGCTTTCGGGATGGCTGTTGACGCAAAAACCAAACAAATAGTTCTATCCAAACACAAACCATAGAAAATAGAACCCCGTTCCACCATTGGGTCCATTTCCTTTTCTACGCCCCAGATTTACCATTAGTTTCTCGTTCCTTCTTGCTGATCACACCATCTCGCAGAAGCCATGGTAGAAAAACTTCACCATCTTTGGAAATTTCCCAAACTTGTTACCCCTCATCATTTGATTTCTGAAGAAAATTCCATGCAGCAGCAATGAATACACCCAATACTAATGCCCAAACGAATTATCAGAAGGCATTGGCTTTTGGGCTTTCTCCAAATTGACTAGGAAAAGAAATAATCTCCAGCAAGCATACATACGTTCTTATCATGTAGTATAGGATCAAAACAATGATGGCAAAAGCTTCAAGCTTAGGTGCATCTTTCCAATTTCCACCAAGCTTCAGGCCAATTTAGAACTTTACTTCAGTGTGGACCACGTAACACTGCCAAACGAAAGATGATAAAAGAGCGAAGCCCATCCACTCCATTGCAAAAAAACCAATATCTACAGAAGCAAATGTCTAATTACATCACCTAAATTGACAAATTTAGTCACGTTGCTAAAACATTTCTAAAACCATTAAAAAGGAGATGGAGGGAGCAAGAGAGATCCAATGCTCAAGGTCAAATGGGAAACACCAAGAGGTAAAAGATTAAAAAAAAATGAAACCATCAATTACAGCAACAACTCTATTTCCCCTTAAATGTAGTTTTTGACTGCTTAAAAATGAGGTATTGTATTCCCTACACAAAAATGTAAGACTATTTACATGGGCAAATGTTGATGCATGAAATGACAACATATCACTCCGATTACATACAAGCAAAAGAATATTCCCATGTTACTCGTAACAAGGTGACTGTTTTGGGAATGCCAAAATCACCCAGCAACTACACATGAAAATCTATCGCAAAGACATACCACCACTACCATGATAACTACAAATTGAGACAGACCAAATACTTGTTTTGCAAGCGCTGAAACTAAAAACTCTGATTGCTCAATATATTGTAGCAGATCACCAATATCATATTCTGTCTATTGTTCCCTTTTTGCATAATATATACCTGGCTGTGTTTTTAACCCAAGCATGCTCAGCACCCTTGACACTGCATCCTCAGACACCACACCCGACCATGGACAGGAGCCAAACATGATGACAAGACGCCTGACCTGGAACCCATCTATTGTTCCATCATATCCGTAAGGAGTTCAATACAAAACCAGATAAAATTCCTGAAATATTAATTGCAAACAGCTTTTAAAATGCAAAAGCAGATATAAACAATAGTCAGATATGCATAATCAGACAACTGTCCATCCACTCTAAATAAACATAAAAGGCTACCACCAGAGTGAAACACTAAAAGACAAATCAATACAAAGAACAGCACCACATACCTCTAGCTGAAATTGAATCCCCCTGAAGGGACAGGATACTCACTCCCTCCAAAATGAAACCCTGTCTGAGAGGCGTCACCTGGTGGCATTGTCTCATCCTCCTCTTCCAACCAATATGTCTCGAGAACTTTCACAGCCTTTTCATAGATCTCAGTGTTATCATGAGACTGTAAATTCTCAATCTTCTCAAGACCCTCTGCATCATCGATCATTTGTGCATAAAGATTCACACCTCCAGCACTGCTGAGATTCTTATCAGCTTCTCCTACCTTCAAAATGTTTTCAAGCCCTTCTAGACAAACTGTAACTATCCTTAGATCAGGACAGTTAAGAAGATCACACAATGGCTTGATACAACCTTGACTTACAAGGAACCTGTAATATATGACATGCCCAGATACAAGTTTATCATTAATAATCAGACAAGACATGATTCCAAACAACAAAGATTGGAAACAATTTTCATACTTGATCTGATCATGAGTCCCACCAGATGTAGCATTTGAGATGGCCCAGGCAGCCTCTTTCTTAATATCAAATTCAGCATTTTGAAGCAGATGAACCAGTGGAGCAATAATATTAGCTTCAATCACAGCCTGTAAAATTCACACCATTACACATAGGCTCATGGTATAAATGAAGGTCTTAGATCAAATTTTGATAAAACCAAGAGAAATATCAAAACAAGAAGAAAAAAGTGATACAGGTCCAATTATTACCTGTATCTGCTCCTTACTTCCAGCTGTGATATTGGAGATCATCCAACAAGCTTCCTTCTTGATGCTCTTTTTAAAATTATTCATCAACAGGTTCGAAAGGCAAGGCAAAGCTTGATGATTGATAATACACTGTGTGGCAAAAAGATTTGCCCATAAATGAGAAAAGACAAAATGGCTCATTCTATATATAAGCAAAAAGATAACCTTTAACAACTAAACTCACAAAATCTTGCATCCATTTTACTATAAGAGGAGGGCCATCAATGTTGTTTGAGTGAGAAAACTAGTTATTCACACGATCAAAGAAGATAAATGGAAAAAGATTTAAATTCTTAGTAAGATCATTAAAAGAAGAAAACTTAGGAAATGGCTAATACCTGGGTTTGCACATCATCTCCTGTGACAATATTTCCAATGGTGCGAAGAGCAGGGATTAGCACTGAAGGAGACAGATGCCTGTAAAAGCCAAAGAACTTTATATTTAGGTCAGGTAAACAAAACAAATAAATCAGAAATAGAAAGACTTTGTGATTCATACAACAGCAAATAGTCTAACTCACAGCAAAAGATCCACCAGACGCCCACATACACCCGCTTCTATAACAGCTTGGATTTTGTCATTTGTACCATCGGAAAGATATGAGAGCGCCCAACATGCATCAGTTAAGACTTCTTCGTCCTTTGAATGAATGAGACGTGCCAATGCAGGAAGTGCAGGCTTAACCTGAAAATAAACAAAGGATAATTAGTAAGATAATAATTAATTCAACCCACCAGTGGACTGCCATAAAATATTAATAGGTACATAATAATACTCAAGATTCATAAGCCTCCTATATCTCACTTTCTGGTTTAATGTTAACGATGAGCAATTTCTCACTTTATGGTTTAATGTTATCAGTGTATTCCAATGTATAATTTACATGGTCCAACAAGCAATCCACTATCTCAGATTTCAAAGACAGACAAAGGACAATGATTTTGCATTGTAAATCAATAACATTGAACATGAAGAACATTGCGAATTCATATTAAACCAACAACAGTTCACCAATAAAAGAAAGGAAATAGGGTCAAACCTGATCAAAGGGTGGTGGGGGCTTGCCCCGACAAAAATTTGAGAGTGTCCATGTAGCATTTCTCAGCATAGAAAGTTTAGCATGCTCATTCAATTGAGCCAACAAAGGAAGCAAAGCACCATGGCCAAGGACAAGATCACGACATCTAGGAGAATCACCGGCAACATTTCCCAATGCCCATACAGCCTGAATGTTCAAAACGAAATGAGAAAATTAGGATATAAACCAGTTCACATTAGCTTTTGCTAAGTAAATTTCAATTTATCTCACTTCCTAATTCTTTCAGTAATCAAAACAACACTAAATACCTTTCATATGCATACCTGCTCGCGAACATCATCACTTGGGGAGCCAAGTAACTTCACAAATATGGGAACAGCCCCATGATCAATTACCACCTTCGTGTTCTCCGATGTCCCAGAAGCAATATTTGTGAGGGCCCAGGCTGCCTCAAACTACAGCAATTTTAAATTAGTAAGAATATTAAACTAATGTAGAAATATAATGTGATAAAATAATATTGAAGCTAACAGGTAATCCAACCTGAAGCTGTGGGAAATCTTCCCTCATAAGGAACTCAACAAAGCGAGGAACAACACCAGCTTGAATCACTTCCTCAATGGGTGGGCTGCGTTCTAGGATAAATAACAAAAGATATTAAGGCATATAATTTAAACATTATATCACTATTAAACAAATTTATTACAGGATGAATTTCTCACCAATTGAAAGCAATTTCCTAAACTGAGTGGTTGCCTCAAGCTGCATATTACTGTCATCAGTCCAGACAGCAGCAACCATGGCTGGCAAATATTCCAACTGCGGTCAAAGAGTTGAACACGATCAGGAAAATCCGATGCTCAATCAAGTCATACACACGGCCAATCAGCATATCATGCAAATAATTAACGAAAGCTGTCACAAAATAAACAATGGCAAAAACAAAATTTATGGAACAAGTATGCCAATTATTCATGACAATTTTGGTTTGAAATAAATTAAAAAGAGGAACCTCGTTTTGACAACTCTATTTTAATTAATTATTGTTCAATTTCTTGCCAAAAAATAGAAGGGATGGAACTAAAACTACCATGTTCATGCCAACAACCAACCAGGGGTCCAAACATAAAATCACAAACGCTAATTTGACAATTTAAAAGCCATTCCCTTAATGTAGTTGCAAAGCTTAATCCTTAACCTTATAAAAAAAAAAAAAAAAAAAACCTTGATTAAGACAACTTGATATGAGAACCAACAAACCGAATCGCGAATTTGACAATTGATGTTACCGCATCAACATAAAACAACAACAATCTTAAACTTAACCAGACAGAAAATGCTTAAACTACAGAGTTCCCAGCCAAACCATCGAAAAAGCACCAGAAATCATAATCATCACCTCATCAAGACAATCAAAGCATGATACAAACAAAATACTATCAAATTTGAAAAACAATCATAATCCTAATCCCATAAGATTAATCAAAATTTAGCAAACCAGCTCGTACAAAACAAGCTTTAACAATTTTAGCGACTTATAAACACTGAAAACTTAAACGAAAAAATAAAACAATTGAAAATTTGAAAATCAACCTTTTTTTCAACAGCAGAGGGGTGAAGAGAAGCAGGCATTGGCTGAGCTTGGAGTCCTTCGCGTCGCTTCTTCTGCAAGCTCTCTTCACGGCGGTTCTTCCTAATCTCCACCATGTTATCCTCCCTCCTCCGCCTCCCTTCCTCCGCGTCCACCGCCACCTTGTACCTGTTCCTCCGAACCTCCGTCCTGGCGTTTGGCCTCAACAACATCTTATCAAATTTCCAAAACGAAAACCCTAGAGAGAGAAATAAAGTGATCGAACAAAAACGTTTGAGAACTCCTTTTCTTTTCTTTCTTCCTTCGACTGAAAACCGTAGACGAAAAAATTAAAAAGAAAATATTAGTGTTTTTTTGTTTTTTTTAATTTGAAGGTGGGGAAAGAAATTAATTTTTTTATATAAGAAAAATGTTGATTTATTTTGATGGAGGATAAAACGTAGTCGTTAGATGTTTAGATCTGGTTGGATCGTGACATGTTGATTTATTTGCTTAGAGGGCAAGCCAAGCCATATTTGTAGAATCAAAATATCAAAAATAAATAAATAAATGAAAATTATTTTTTCAAATTAAACAAAAATGATTTTGTGATTTGCAAATCATACTAAAAGCATTCTTTGCATAATTTTTAAATAATATATTATCAAATATGAATTCAAATACATATTTTAAATATCGATTATTTTTTAAATTAATTAATATATTATTAAAATTGATACTTAAAAATTATGAATTTGAAAAAAATTTAAACATATAATGTTCTCTTTGATCATATATGTAATTAGGTAAAAAATTTAAAAATAAATAAAAATACAAATTAAAAAAAAAATCATCTACACTTGATTAACTTTAAAAAATTAAGAAGGTTTTTTATTTTCTTGTTGGTTAAGTTAAGAAATCGAAAATTTAAAAATATTTTACTTTTTAAAACAAAATTATCTTGAATGAATTTTTTAGTTTTAAGAATTTTATGTATATTTTTCAGATGAAATTTAGCAAAAAAAAAAAGCAAACTTTTAAAAAAATGGAAAATGAACCCTACGAATATATTGAACTTTATGATTAAGAAGAAAGAGTATGAAAAAAAAAAGTTCATTATTTGGTGAGGAAAATTGTTCATGCTTAAGTAATGAATTGTCTTTTAGTCCACTTAATCTACTTTCTCCATAAGTTTGAGTATGATTCGAATTGTAGATAGTTTTTTAATTAAAAAATAAAAAGAAAATCAAAAAGGAAGAAAAGAAAAATGATGGCCCAAGGGCCCAAACTTAACACTAGGCCAGTAACGGTATTTTATAGGCTCAATCATAAAGTGAAGATATATAAGCCCAATGTGAGGAGTTTGTTTATTAATCTGGGTTCCACCCAAAAACTTATATTAGTATAGTGTTGTGTAAAATATTAAAATTTATATATTTATATTATATTTTATATAAAAATTATATATTATAATTTATGTTAATATAAAAATATAAAATATAATTTTTTTATTTTATTAAATTTATATATAGATATTGTTATATTTTAAATCGTGTTATTTTTATATTTTATTTTCATATTTATTTGTGTTGTATCATTATATCATATTTTAAATTATCAATTTAAGTTAATGATCAATAGAAGTGAATAATTGATTGGTTCAATTTTGAAAAATCAAAAATTGATTTAATTAATTTCTTTAAAAATAAGAGAAACCGAATGATTTATTTTTACTAATAAACAAATCAAACTTTTTTTCATTATTTTGTCATCGAATTTGAAAATTAATTCTGCAATAGTTTCCTTTCATTAAAACTCACCTTATAATTTTGCTAAAAATGTCATATGCATAATTCTTAAAAATATAAATAGAAACTATTTATTATTTATTTAAATTATATAATATATTTAAAAATTAATTAATTCTACCAATTCAATTGTTAATTAAAAAACAGATAAATTTAACTAATTAAATCATTTTATTTAACTTACTATTATCAAAATCTACTAATCAAAAATTGATTTGATCAATTTCAAACAGTCTCAATCAGTCAAGTCAGTTGTAAATCAACTTATACTCATCCTTAAAAATTATAATCAGTAAAAAAAAAATTAATAATTTTGAATGTTCATTATTAGGAAAATATGATTTAAAAACTAGATGATAAATAAAGTTGTAGATACAAAAAATATTTGACCAACAAGTAATTGGTTAAATTAATTAAGATTTATTCATTTTGATGAAAAATTTTGGAGTTTGAGTCTTACTGTAAATTATTTATTGAGGTCATTTGGAATGTAAAATTTACAATCATTCATCTTAAATTATTAGATACGATATATTTTATCTTAATTTAAGAGATTGAACAATTTATTTCTTATCGAATTTGACCCATTCCAAAAAATAAAACATTTAAGTTTGGGATTGAAGGATTGGAAGTCAAGGATTTAACTAGTAAAAAAATCTAACTTTTAAATAGATTTATCGATTTATATATTTGTATCATATAATATATTAAAATTATATAATCATATCATATATTATATAAAAAATATATATTATAATTTATATCACATAAAAATATATTATATATATTTTAATTTTATTAAACTAATATATAATTATTATTAAAATTTTAAATCATATTATTTTTATATTTTTATCGTATTTTAAATAAACATATTTATTTTTGAGTGAGGCCAAGAAAGCATATTTCAATTTTTAATCAAAATAATCGATTATAACAGATTTAATTAGATAAAATCAGGTTGATTATTTTAATTTCAATTTAAAATTAATTATTATTTTGATTTAATTGGATTATTCGATAGATTATCCATTTGTGAGCATGGTAGTCAAGTTGACTGAGAAAATCGACGGTAAATAAATATGTAAAATATATGTTATTGATTTTTAATATTAAATTTTATCACCCATTTTATTTTACCCAATTAAAACTCTTTCACTGATTCCCTCTCGATTCCTCGACTGTCACTCCCAGGGATGGCCTAGTAACCGGTTAGATTGGACAAATTTTCCTCATCTCAAATTCAAGCCAACATGATAAATTTTTTTTTAATTTTTTTTATATTTAAATTTAATCCGACATAATATTATATAAAACAATCATCATCTTAATTCAAAATTTGATTTAAAAAAAAAAATCGATCCTAAAAAATCAAATCAAAATCAAAACTTATTAAACATGGATTGAGTTGTCGTCCCTAATCACCCTATTTTCCTTTCCTGATTCCTCTCAACTTTCCTGGCCTCTCACCCTTTCTTACATTCCTTACTCGCCTATTATTATTCCCTTTCTTCTCTAATTTCTTAACTGATTCAGTGATTCTCCTCTGATATCTTCCCTTTCTTCTCTTTCTCCAAGTCATAACTCACTAGTCTCTGATTTCATCCATAGTTTCTTCAGTTCTTCCTTCGCCAGGCACCTGCAGATTCGGCACTAATGCCACATGTCCACAGCACCAGGCAGCAAGCATCTTCCCTCAACAAAGTTAATAACCCAGCTTCTGCTTGTTGAATTTTAAAATAATGAATTTTATGTCTAACCCGTTGTCTGTTCTATTGACAACAACACATAGTCTTGTCAAAAGCTGACAATCAAAGTTTAAAACATACTTCTAGTTTTTTACTCAGCCAATGAGCATTTTTCACCATCACAGCAAGCCTCACAATTTCATCTCTTTTCAGTACCCCATTTCCCTAATTAAAGAAATTAGCCCTATAATTAATTTACTAATCATGGGATTAAAACAAAGGTGGTTTGAATGATAAGGTTACCCAACAACACGCGTCAACAGCGAGAACCGTTCCGCTTTGCTGCTTTGCCTTTAGGGACCGTAATACGTGCCCTCTTCGCCTTCGTTGGATCGTTGTTGACGTCGAAGCTCACGCCATCTCGGCCGACCATATCGGCAAACATCCTTTGCAAATCCTCAAAGCTATCCCCCTAGATTCAAAGAGAAGAAAATCCCATCAAAATATAAATCACAATTACATATATAATATAAACATTTAAAAAAGTAATAAAATTTAGGGCACACCTCGTCTTTCACATTGTTCATCATCGAGATCAATTCTTGCATGAAATCACAGAAGTCCTGCTTCAAATTTTACAAAATTCAGGGGGGGAAATGGAAATAAAACAGTAAAAACGTTTTAAATACGAAATTAATATAGAAAGGTTAAAGGAATTGATATTGCCAAGGCAATGATTGCCTTGCCAGAATAAAGGAATAAGATATTTTTACGCACTTCGTCTTCTTCTTCCAAAGGATCGTAGAGACCGGCGTCGTACATTGATCTCTTGGTCTCGTCGGAGAGAACTGTGAAAAATTAACGGCCAATTTAATGAATAAATAAGCTATTAGAATTCACCGGCAATAGGATGAGAAGGAGGATTCGATAATGTTACCGGAATAAGCTTCTTGGATTTTCTGAAACCGGAGTTTCGCTTCGCCGGCGACCCCCGGATTTCTGGCGTATTTGTCCGGACGCCATTTCCTCAAAAATCAAAACATAAATAATTTTATTTGATTTCCTAAAAGGCTAATTAAATTATGAACAAAATCACATTGTGACCGGAATCAAGAGCTAAGATCAAGGCCTCTCAAACTCAAGATGGTAGTCAATATAGTCAACAAAACCAATGAAAGCAAAAAAAAATAAAATTTGAGAACAATTTTTATTACCAGAGCGAGCTTACGATAAGCAAAGCGGATATCAGAGAAGGAGGCGTCCTTGCGAATCCCAAGGACCGAGTAATAACTAGATCCGCCGTGGGATCCTCCTCTGACCATCTTAGCCGTCCAAAATCCTCTCTCTGCCGCCTGTCTTGCTCTTCTAAAACGAAGAAGACAAAACTAGAAAAAATTCATAGTTTTCTGACACCTTAGAAACATGAACAAACAGGAAAACAAAAATCAAATGTACTTAATAAAAAGCTGAAACACTACTTTTTGTTGTCACTGTTGATTTTTTTAAGGGGTGAGTTTGTAGAGAGAAAGACAGAAAATATCTTGGGCGAACTTAGCGAATTGTGAGGGGATGCCCTGAACGAAAATTCGAGAGATTTTCTCTTGATAATAGTCCTCCGAGCTAGATATTTTCGTGGGTTTTTTAACTGCAGCTGGAGTTCGTTTTAAATTACGGAATTTGCCATTATTTTTTTTTTATAGATAGTTATCAATACAAATAATAAAATAAAATATGATTCGATAATAAACATAAATATGATATAAAAAATAAAAGTGATATGATTAAAAATTTAATAATAATTATATATAAATTTAGTAAAAATAAAAAAAATATATTATATTTTTATGTCAATATAAATTATAATATAAAATTTTTTATAAAAAAATATAAATATATAAATTTTAATATTTTATATGAAATAAATACATAAATCATCAAATCAAAAACAAAAGACAACAAAAATTAGAAGCACAAACGTTAACATCTTTGTCTTGGTTTAATGCTAATTAAAAGGTGCTTAAGTGATTTGGTTAAAATAATAGCCTTCTTTTTTTTTTTTTTTTTTGAGAAAAATATAATTACCTTTCTATTTCCTTAATCAATCTTAGACTATCCTGCATATTGAATGTTTTGCACTTTGCAGTTCAGTCCCTAGTTATAATCAATAGTTGCCGTATTTCTCACAATTATTTGATCTTAATCTTCCATATTATACTCTTGAATACATGACATGCAATTCTAGGAAGGATTGAGAATTCAAGAGTCACAATTGTTTCACTATCCTTCTTCTTTGTCTACAGAAATCTCCAGCTGAAGGCCTACATTACAGCTGCCCCTCATGGCTATAGCATTTGATAGAATCATGCAAGAAGCTTATTTGTTACCTTAGATGGGGGTTTACTTTCTTGGAAATTTTTTGATGTTTCAAACCTGCTGGTAATCAGAATCCATGTTATTCCCACAGAAACTGGCATGGATGTTGCAGTATGAGTCAGAAAATTGATAAGAATGTCGGTAAGACAATTCCATGGTTACCATAATATTAAACAAACAGATTCAACTGAAAATCTCATATTTTGATTGTTACATCAATGATTTTAACTTACAAACACTATTTACAGAGACCCTTTTTGTTGCACTTGTTACAACTTAGAAGGATGAAAGCTTCAGCTAATTAATAAACCTGGGAGAATACTTGCCTCCTAATCTAACATGCTTACACATTACATAAGATCTAGGAGATTATTGCCTCCTGATTGCATGAAACTAGAGTGGATGCTATTTGCCAATCAACCTACATAATATTGACAGATGAAAACAGAAAAACTTCAAAACTAACATAACATGAAGCTTGCCTCCCAAATTCAGAGATGCTTAATTGTTGTAATCTTGTCATTTATATACATATGCCTTCTGGCAGCCAGAGCCGCCTTCTAGCAGCTCCGCGCCTGATTGACCGCCACTGGATAACGGCTCGAAGCTTCAGCCATCCAGCTTTGGGCCACACATCTCTCGCCTCTCCCATGCTTCGGCTATGTACATCAAAGTTTGAGGAAGAAGCAAGGATGCCTACAGATGATTCACAGTCTGGAGTCAAACTAAATCCACTGCCTTGTCCCCATTCTGGAGTAGCTGGAGTCCAATGTGGCATTTGAGCCTGAGAATTATCCTCCATAGCAAAATGACCATCTGGAAAAAGTGACAAACTGTTCTCTCCATTGTAAGGGAAGATTCCTCCCTTTCTGAAACTGTTTCTTAGCATTGGATTAAATTCTTTAATTGCATGTCCATCCTGTGGTAGAGAAACCTGTAATTGATTGGTATCTTCCACTTCGTAGGCATAAGATGTTGAAGATTGGTTGAAACCCAGCGGTTTGTCTGGTTGATCTGCATACAGTCAATGAATCAATGAAATCAGAAATGTAGTAGTAAAAAATTCTGGCTGAGAGCACGAAGAGTTTATGATGTAGCCAGCAACTTGTACTTTGAAATAACAACTATGTCTATATGTTACATCCAGACTCTATCTTGAGGTCCATTTGGCAAATTGAACCATTAATTTTCTCTCTTAAGTGGATGCAGAGGAAAGCAGTTAAATTGTCTGCTAAGATATGATTCATCATCTTTTAGGCAGTTTCTGCAGCCTAGAATAAATTTGGAAAGGGATTCCTTAAAGTAACGATCCCATAGGCATATACAGATGGATGCACAGTTGATTTTGTACTTCAATTAGGAAAGAATGAATCTAAACTGATGAATAGATCTCCGTAAATTTCATCACGTGCGGATAATTCAATTTGCTAGAAATTCTTGTACCTTGGTTTGAAACTGAGAAATCAGGTTGCTGCAGAAGCAAATTTGGGATGCCTAGTGGCTCGGGCAGCAGATTTGTATAGGGTATTGAGGGGCCCATAATTGCTTGCCGATCAGTCAAGACCAGGTCTCCAACATTCTTGTATGCTTGTCGTGTTGCATCTTCCACCAGAAGCTGAAAATTTATTGGAGAAATCATTCAATCTTAAGTCATATGCAACATATCTGTGGTGAAGTACAGTCAATGGTTATGATTTACTGTCTCTAATTTGGTGTATCTATATGAGTTTCATGGATATCACACACTAACCTTCTGAGAAAAGGTCAATTTTTCCGCAGGCAGGTAATTTTGGCCATCAAATGTTGCTGCTACAACCTGGTAAATGGAATTTAATAGGAGTACAACCCTTTGGGCAGCTCCATAGTAGGCATACCACTCATCATCATCTAGAACACAAGACAGAGCATGTTCTATGATTGTATCCCATACCTTGTTTGAGATCCCACCACCAAGTATCTGCAGTAGAGTCACAATTCAGATAGGTTCATCAGAAGAAAAGAAAACAGAGAAAAAAGCACACAAAACGACAATAACATGCTCAAAAGTTCTGATTGACATGAACAATTATTCTCTTACATTGCGCAGTGCAGATGGCTTGGTAACATGCAACCGCAGGAAGTCCTTTACGGTAAGAATATTTTTAGAAGCCAACCGTGTATGGAAGGCACCATCTTTTGCTATCCTTTCCAGACGCCATACTTCATCACGGAGGAATGGAGGGTAATGTTTCTTGTACACTGCATGAATGAACTCAAGATTATTCGTAAAATTCAATTACAAAGAGAATACAGAACTGAAGTTGAAAAAGCATTTGAACTTACACTCTCCTCGATGATCCTTCACCACGAATGCTTCACTTCTAGCCTCCCTGATTGTCACTTCACCAGAAATTCTTTGTACAATTCTAGCTCCTAATCTAAACTTTCGACTTCTTATCCAGCTAGAATTGTCAGTGAAAATCACATTATCAACAGTACCCACACCATCTACCAACGTAACATTGAGATCCCCGGTCACCAACGGCCTTTTACCTTCTCTTTCACGAAGAACACCGGCATTGAATTCATTTTCTGTCCAATCTTCTCGCTCATCTGCTCCAAAATCACCATCAAGGACTACAATCTCAATTTTAATAGAAGACAGTGAACCAGATGACGCCATTGGCTGGCTAGTTGTGTCAACTAGGATAATCCTAACGGGATTGCCATCCTCAGCTTCAACCTTGCTGCCTGTAAATATGGTAGAGGGCAGTTTATTGACAAAATGCAACTGCAAGCTTCTTCCCCTAGATGCCTCAATCTGATTAAGCGAGGACCTAAAAAACAGGAAACAAAAAACCAATGTTGGACTGTTAATTGGGAAAAGCTTGGAAGGAGACAATAACATGAATGATAAAACACGCGGAGCTTTAGAACCAATATATCAAGGCAAATAGTCAAAACAATTCTAGTGTACAGAAAAATGCAAGCAAAGCAGACTGAAGTTAATTCTGAGAATCTTGGAGCTGCTGATGAAACTTAAACTGTTCATCCTGTCAGATTGATAGAGATCTAATACAACAGGGTTGAATGGACCCCCAATACCAAGTTATTAGAGAGATGAAATCCATATGATTTTCAGTTTTGTGCTGAGAAACAAGAAAATAGTTACAATAGCTTACCTTGAAGAGGGACGAAAGGAGGATAGCGTTGCTCTTTCCACTTCCTCCCGAACCTAATCACCAATGATTTGTAGAAGAATTAGAATACAAAGATATATATCTAAAAATATCTCCGCATTAAGAATTTCAGGCAATTCACTGTAATCCTTATTGAAATCAGTCACTAGAATCATTAGTTGAAGCCATCTTTTATAAAAGTACTTTCTTTGTACCAGTTGATTAACAAATCATACATGCTAAAGCATTTCACCAAATTGAGAATTCATAGCTTTATGAAAGGAAATAGAAAACAGAACAAAAAAAAGCAGAAAGAGATAGAGGACAGTTTTGGTCACTTTCCAAAAGCACAAGTCAACAACTACTGTTCAACTGTTTGAATAGGCTAAAAGCCTAAAACTTTGGAATGTGAAATTTACATACTGTGTTTCTGAAGATGAAAAGTCCTACAATTTACTCAGAAGATTAGTTACTAATGCAAACCCAAATGATTTCTTAAAAGAACTTGAATCAAGATATATACTAGCTAGCTCCTAAACTACTTACCCATGATCGAAGCATTGGTTCCAGGTTGAGCACAATTCGGTTCAGGGAAAGCGCTCCCAATCCCATAATGTTTCTAACGGCACTGCAAAAGAATAAAGAAACGAAAGCCAATTCAGAAACATGCAAAATCAGCTTAGAACAGAAGAGAACCAAACTCATTGCGTCTCCACAAAAAAAAATCAAAATTTACTTCTTCAGGGTAGCTCTTCTTTTTGACTCAGGAACCGTAACTCCCAATCTCTGATCATCATCACCACCATCAGGAGCAGGCCTCTTACTAGGCAGCATCGTGAAAAGGAAACAAAGAAACTTGCACAATGACTTCTTTCAAAGACCAAAAGAATGCAAAAGCACAAACAATTTAAGCATCAAATTCTTAACCCCTGCAACCAAAACCTTCTACAGCTGTCTCTTATAAATAATACTCAGAAAAGAGAATTGCTTTCATTGACTTTAAAAGAGGAGTCTCAGTCACAGAAGATACCTGGAAACTCACAAAATCACTGTTAAAAAACACGCATGTCACTTTAGTCAAGAAAATATTGTATTAAATGAAAAGCACTTTCAAGCAGCAAGAAAAGACTAACTAAAAAAAACATTAAATTATGCTAATTCTGTGAGGATGCTTTCGAAAGTATCAAAAACTTTGCATACACCGACAAAAGATTGACTCAATTGATTAGCTCAATTCATAATAATTGTATTTTTTGCTGAAAGAAATTTTAAATTAAAATTTAATTTATAAATTATTATTAAATTATTATATATATAATTTATTATTATTATTTTTTAAATTATCAAATATGACATGTATTCCCACGAAACCACCTTTCTACCCGAATTTAACTTAAAAAAACAACTTTGTACGCATCACTAGTCTTTAATAAACAGACAACTAAACTAGAAAAAAATATTGCTACTAAAATCTTTGGGTTTCATGTTTTGAAGGGTACAATAACGAACTGGAACAAAGAAAGAAACGTGTGATGATCATTGAAAAGTACATAAAAAGAAAGTACAATAAAAACAACTAATCCAACAAAACAGAAAATTTTTGGTTACATGTGTTCTTTTAGTTCTTGGGACAAAGAAAATTGTGACAAAAACGAGGTGGATGAAACGCGTGCATCGGGAACAGTGTATTAATCAAGAAAACTGCTCGAAATTTACGAAAGACATCATTTTTTTCTACAAATACCGCGTTGGATTTAGGCTTGAGAGTTGAGATATTATTGGGATTCAAAAAAGTCACTCTCTTCTCTTAACTAATGGATCCAAACCATGTGAATAATGGTTTGATTTGAGTGGTAAAATCATCAATTCTTTTAAGTAAGATATTATATTTTAAGTAAAATTTTGATTTTAATTTTTATAAATAAAAAATTTTTTAAAAAATTTATCCTCCTTAAAAAATTTAATTCGATTTTAAATTAATCAATATTTAAAATAATTATCGAATATTAAAAAATCATAAAAAAAATTTTTTTGACAAAGATTCCGTAGGTTTTTTAAGGAATACTGTCAGATCATTCTCTTAGTTATACTCTCAAGACAGACGACCTTGACGAGAAATCAAAATAATATTATAGTGATAGAATTTGCTGAACGGAAAACTTCCAAATAAAAGGAACAACTAGAAATTTTTTTATGCGAAATGCTGATTCATGATAAATTGTTAATAGTAATTTTATAATCTTTTGAATCTTTCAAACCTACTTGAATTTTATATTACAAGATAAAACTAAAGACAATAGAGAATTATTAATTGCAAAAGAAGATACAAAAATGGTTAAAGTTGAATTGACTACTGCATGAGACAAGGACTAACCATCCAAAAAAACTTATTAAATCAATCGATCCATGGCTTTCACTCAAATTCCCAACCCTTATCGTGATTTTTTAAGCAGAAGAATATTGTCAATGATAATACAGCAGACAATTGGTAATTCCAGTGTTTCGGCAAATAAACCCAAAATAAGATGATAAATTCTCAGCCTCAACTTTATTTGGTAGGCTAAATTCTATAATTAAATACTCCCACTTGCTTCACCATGTCACTTTCACTGTCGGCCAACATGTAAATGCTTGTGGGGCTTCTCTCTTCTTTTTTCTTCTTCTTTTTTTTATCCTAAAATAAGAAAATTGGTGGTTGGGGGCTGGTGCTGTTCACTTTTGAATTAGACTCTTGATCATTTTCAAGAACACTTTATTTTCATTGTTACACTTAAACAGATGCAAACTCTATATATATACATAGTTCTATGAAAATTTGTTTAATGAAGATTTATTTGTTTTGCTTCCAGTTTAGACTGTCTTACATGCATGTAAATCTTATTATCAATTTAATTAGTTAAACAATTCAATTTTTTGAGTTAGATGTTCAACCAGTTGCCTTTCTTTCCTTAATTATATGGTGTTGTTTGCACCAAATTTCTTGGCAAGTTCATGGCATTTACAGTCTCATTTCCATGGAGGAAACTTCAGAGAAAATTCATGGTCATGAAAAGTCCTGGAATTTATGTTCCCAATTTAATAATTTTTCTTTTTTTTTCTTCTAAAATGTCTGGGACAGTAGCATGTGAACATACGGAAAATTTTCAAGTGATATGAATTCAAATTCAAACTACTTTATGCAGTCTATTCATCTCTTGGGAAGCATATTCTCTCAATATTCTCAAAATTTTGTTTTATTCCCTGTCCAAAACTTTGGTTCTAGATACTCTGGTCACTTTAAAATTCTGTGTTATAATTTTATTTTTTTATGCAATAAAAATGAAAATCAGAAACTACTAATAATATAATTTCCCTCTACAATTAAGGTGTTGAAACATAAAAAGAAACATTACAAGTGCATTTAGATGTGGTTTTGTAATTTTTTTTCTTTACATTTTTGGTTTTATGATGGATGAATGTGTGCTTAGTTTGCTTTAGTAGCCATGGACAATGTTACGATACTTGTTCTTGATCCATATACGGACTTTGTTTAAAGAATCAGTGAGCTTCCCTTCAAGGGCATACATCTTATACTGGGTAAGTCTCCATTTCTTTTCATCTTTAGTTCATTCCACCATGACTTAATCGACATAGACGACTTTTTCCTCTTCTTAGTAGCCTGTTTTTGATCATCAAAGGATAGCTGAGATGGTCCAAAATAAGCTTTGTTCACGTATTTTAACATATTATGATCGATGATCTCAAGGTTCTGGCCATCTCTGCAGACTATCCGGTAGGATGGCCGGAAGAGAGAGAGAATGCAAGTCCTTTGATGACGGGAAAAGAGTGGTGAACAAATGAAGGTTGGTTGTTTGAACAATAGTTTGAATGCATTCACACATTAGCTAACATCATAACAACCATATGTTTGGGCTTCAATTTAAGTTAATTAATGCTCAAAAAATGAATTTTTTATATATAATAATAGTAAAAAAATCTAATATAAGATCTAAGATCTATATAATATAGCCAGCCATACGAGTCGAAAACACTTCTTTGAGGAATAATTTGGGAAATAGCACATGCAACAACCATGCAACATGTAATAATTAAACTTAATTATTTTTGCTTCAGTTAAGAGAGAGATCATGATATAATTGACAATGACAATGACATGTCAAGCACCATTGTGCCTAACAGAGTAACCTCTTTGCTTGAAGTTGTAAAGACTTCGCTATAATCCAATCCAAAATTCTTTATGAGATGTTTTGTGTTTATCAGTTGACTAGTTACCGAAACCAAGGGTGGATTTTATTGGTGACTTGGTTTTTGGTTGTGGGGAGAAATCAGACAAAACAATTCCTCTAATGAAAATGGCACTGCCATTTGACTTTTTTAAAACTTCGATATATGTTGCAGAGAGCCAATGGTTAAAACAAAGGTAAGAGTAAGAACAAGATGAAGAAAATTTTTATTAAATTTTTGCTTTTAGAATTGTAATAATTTATAAATTAGTAACCAATCACAGTTGAGTAAGGTATGCTCCATTATCTTTTCACAATATCTGGGATTTAGTTTACAATCTTTAATTATGACAATGATAAAACTAAGTAGTACTAGAATTAATTAAGTTTGTTGACACTTTGATAAAAATACTTGAATCTCTTATGGAGTCGTTAAAAAATTAAAAATAAAGATTCTTCAACCATATGGCAAACACCTATTCCATTCATTTAATTTCTTCAGCTTTGAAAATTTAAGCCATTAATAACCCAATTCACCCTCTCAAGAAACATATTCAAATAACTTGCAAAAGCGAGATTTAAAATTGAATTGAAATCAATTTTAAAGTGGAAGTTGTGTAGCAAGTGGCATGGCATTGGTAACAAAGTTTAAGAAAATTACAAGACCAGGACAGAAATGGAAATTTATTTATTTTATTTAATTCATTTGTTTCACCTTGGGTCCTTGAGTTTTTAATGGCAGAGTTGGGTTGTCTGTTATGTCACTTCTTCTCCAAGATTTAATGCTCAAAATCTGACCAGATATATCTTGGTCTTTTAAACTCTCCAGCCCCCCCCCCCCCCCCCCCTTTTTTTTTTTTTTTTAATTTTACCTTCTCTTTCTTATCTGTTATCCAAGTCCAACCAAATCTCTCTCACTCTCACTCTCACTCTCAGCATCTCTTTCTTATCTGTTATCCAAGTCCAACCAAATCTCTCTCACTCTCACTCTCACTCTCAGCATCTCTTTCTTATCTGTTATCCAAGTCCAACCAAATCTCTCTCACTCTCACTCTCAGTATCTCTGCTACTGTCACTAAAATATTTTCCTGTGATGAATTTTTGTGTCCTTTTTTAATTTCCGTTTTTCTATTATGATATGTGCATTAGTATTAATCTGGTTCCACTAAAAGGAAATGAAAACCTTCCTTCTTGGAAGAAAGAAAAATGGTGCTTGGAGTTTATGTAGCCCATTGTGACAAGGAAGGATCTTGGAACCAGGATCATGGGGTTCTGCAACTTTCAAAGAATTCAAGGTGACTTTTTTTTTCCTTCATACAATGAAGTTCTTTTTTTTGCTCATTTACATCTTTGTTTCCCTTTTGGAGGATTATTTGCGTCTCCATTAATGGGTGTTTTTCTTAGTTATAGGAATATGGAGATCTGATTCACATGTTCATGTATTTTATGTCAGAAAACGTTCTATTTCTCTCTCCTCATTTTCTTGCTTGACGTTGATGCATCGTCTCTCTTTGTCTGTTGGCTTAATGAGCAATGTAAGCGAAATCAGGTTTGGTTTTTGAAATTAAAGTTTCTTCATTTTTGTTAGCCATTGATTATGTCCACCGGTTATAAATTTTTGTTTGATAATTCAACTTTTTTTTTTTTTTTGGGTTTAAATCTTTAAGTAATGTTGATTTACGGGCAGGATAATGGATGTCGGAGGGGAACATTCAAAGGGAGGATTTTTTCAACTGTTTGATAGGAATGGTAAATCTCGGAAGAAATTGTTCTGAAACCATTCCGAATTATCAGGTACATTCCTGTTCTAAATCTGCATGGATATGCATGTATTATTTTTGTATGTTTGTAATCATGCACAATTTGTTTGCATTTTGACTGTAGAAGAATCAAGGAGAGGAAGACCTGTGGAAAATCTAGTGAAGTCACTGCCTCACACGGTGGGAAATTTCCTCCCATTCCCCCTTTAATCTTCTATTGCTCTACTGTTATTCTGGTAAAATGTTAGTTTC